CCCTTCCTCAAGAGAGTATCTACTTCTTGTTCCATTACCAGAGCCTGCTCGGGGCCCACTAGTGTGGGAATGACCTCATTGAAACGAGGAGGATGAGAACCAAATTGGATTCTGTAGCCTTTCTCTACAACCTGCAGGACCCATTTTGATAAATTTGGCAGAAGTTCCCACACTGCTAGAAAATCTATTAAGGGAACCAGCCTCTCGAGGCTGGCCTCTGGTTTTATTAGAGGACCCTGAGCAGGTCAGCCTGGTATGCTTGTAACACCGCCATGGTGTGCAAACATGCGCCAGCCTGACCTGCCGCCGTATAAGCTTTCCCAACCAGACTCGATGTAAGCCTAACGGGCCTGGTGGGAAGCTTCGGGGCCTTCAGGGACGATGCTGAGGATGGGGAGAGATAGCTCGCAAGCGTCTGCTCCACCACTGGCATCGCCCCATATCCCTTATCATTCAGCCCCACGATGTTGGAATAATTCGAGACTGTGGGGCTGTAAATACGGGATGAGTACGGTTTCTCCCACGATCTTGACACCTCAGCATGGAGATCGGGGAAAAACGCAGAAGAAACCGCAGCGCGGGCTTCCGAACACTGAGAGAGAGCCGCGGATCTAGCGGGTGAGGACCGAGAAAAGGACGAGCCCGTCTCGGATCCCTCCGCTAACTCCACCTGCGATCCCCACGACAACAGTCTACGCCGTGCCTCGGCAACAGCGGGACCGCTGCCAGCGGGATCGCGAGCCTGGCCGCTCTCATCAAACACAGCCAGGTGAGAGCGGAGCATACGCAGCGAGAGTAACGCGCAGTGATGACAATCAGCTCCCTCGAAAGCTGACCGTGCATGCTCCGCTCCTAAACAAAAAACACACAGATCATGTGTATCCCCCGCTGCCAGATAGCGTGGGCAGGGAGGCACACAACGTCTGTAATGCCATTTGCTCGCCATAGATATTAGTTTAGACTTTGACATATTCTTTTGAATGCTTGTGGACTGACAGACAACAGTAAATAGACTGACACATACACATACGCTACTGAAGAGCAGAAGCTAATTTGCGCTCTGCCGGATGCGCTTTTATACTTCCTGGCGCTCACGTCACCCCGCTCGTGACGTCTCGCTGCTCCATTGGACTGATTTTACACGTGCTTCAGAACGTGGTCACGCAGGGACGTTCCCAAAGCGAATCTCGACGCAGCTCAAGTTCCTGAAGGGGAAAGTATATTTTAAATCTACTAAATTACAACTTCATCATTACAAATGTGTAATTACAAATATATTTAATAGATAACATACAAGTTTTAATAGAAATATTAAAATACATTCAAGTATATAACATTCACCGCAAATTCTTGTCAGTACATCCGGCAGTACACTTTAACCATATATTATATTTTTAAAATTTAATATATTTTTAATATATTAAATTGCAACTTCATGATATGTAATTACAAACATAGAAGTTTCAATTTGAAATTTGAGTGTCGTGGCAGAGGAAGCGATTATCAGCTAGATGTTTAGATAAACCATTCCTTTGAAACTGGGCAAAAGAAAGGAGTGATAAAGGATGAAACAGACAAATGGGGAGATGGAGAAAGAATGGTGAGGATGTGAGAGAGAAGAGCGAGCGGAGAAGAACGAGTTATGATGGCAGTATCAAGGAGAGCTTGACTTTCACAGGATATGATGTATATGTTCAGACAGGCGGTGGAGATTGCCACACTAGTCTAAATTTCAGAGGAGGCTTCCCAATGTGCCAAGGTGCCAACATAACCTCATCACATCTCAGCCTCCCTATTGTTGGCTTATGGATGTCTTATACACAGGCAGGCTCAAAGACCTCTGGGAAATTAACTTTAGATATATCCGCAACAAATTCAACACAGATGGAGCAGGAGTGTCTGGTAACCCATTTTCCTACAGTAATCTCACTCTCCTTATAGAGCAGTTGTGCCTCTAATATCCAGTCCCTGGTTGTTTCCCTACCATCTCATTAATGCTTTGATTAATTATTAATCAAAAGAAGTGAGATAGAGTGAGCGTTATGCATTTTGATGTGGATTTGCTCTGGAATCGTTGGATGATTGTCAGCTGTGAAGGATTTTAAGGATTTAACGAGTTGTAGACAGGATCAAGTTTATATAAGTCTCTTGTCATTGTTGTAATATGGTATGAAGTTGTTTATGAAGATTTTCCTTTCATTGCCATAGAAACTGTGTTTGGTCTATCAGTGAAATTCTTTGCAGTCCGCTTAGTAGACATTCATTTGTCTGCTCTGAAGGCTGTTTCTCTTTTTTTCACTCAAACAATTCTTATAGGTCTTAGTGAAGGTTATTGATTAGGTTTTAAAGGGTTCTATGCCATATTTGTTTATCTGACACATTGCCAATTAAATAGCCAGCAATCATTGAAATATTCAATTAAGTTCAATTCAAGTTTATTTATATAGCGCTCTTCACGAGGCAAATCGTTGCAAATAAATGAATGATGCATTTATATAGCGCTTTATTGTGTATTGCTGTACACCCAAAGCGCTTTACAATCATGTGGGGGGTGGGGGGGTTCTCTCCTCAACCACCACCAGTGTGCAGCATCCACAGGACAACGGCACCAGTGCGCTCACCACACACCAGCTACAGGTGGAGAGGAGAGAGCGAAGCAGCTTTACAGAAAATTAAAGTTTCTAGATTATATTTAGTAATAACTTATCAGTGGTGACTATCTCAAGTTGATGTCCATATGGCAGAAATTGTACGGTAAAAGTCAAGTTGTTAGTTAATAACATGTAGTCAAACAGACGGCGAACACTATTAACAGCAATGATTATATGTTGCGATCAAACTTATAGCAAAATTTTGTCATTTTCTATGTTGTCTGAGGGTTGGCATCATCCGAGGTCTTCTGAGGGGTTGGCATCATCTCTTCTCAGCTGTTCGGTCATCTCAGGTCTTTGTAAGGGCTGGATCCAGACTGAAGCTTGTGTAGTTCCTAGTTACCATGGGATGCCGATCCCATGGCAGAAACAGAGAAAGAAACGTGTTCCACCCAAGCAAAAGAATGTTCATGTGCATTTGATCAGATGTAACTGAAGTACAATTGGTGACTATCTCAAGTTGATGTCCATATGGCAGAAATGTACGGTAAAAATCAAGCAGTTAGTTATTGTCATGTAATCAAACAGACGGTGAACACTATTAATGGCAATGATTATATGTTGCGATCAAACTTGTAACAAAATTTGGTAGTTTTGTATGTTGTCTGAGGGTTGGCATCATCTGAGGTCTTTTGAGTGGTTGGCATCATCTCTTCTCAGCTGTTCGGTCATCTCAGGTCTTTGTAAGGGCTGGATCCAGACTGAAGCTTGTGTAGTTCCTAGTTACCATGGGATGCCGATCCCATGGCAGAAACAGAGAAAGAAACGTGTTCCACCCAAGCAAAAGAATGTTCATGTGCATTTGATCAGATGTAACTGAAGTACAGCGTTATGAGATACATTATGTGAATGCTTGGCTAAAGATATGTGTCTTTAATCTAAACAGAGGGAGTGTGACTGAACCCCGAACATTATCAGGAAGGCTATTCCAGAGTTTGGGAGCCAAATGTGAAAAAGCTCTACCTCCTTTAG